TCTGGAACTGGGAAGGAAGATACAGATTATCATTCAAAGTCTAACACACTGGGCGAAGGCACGAGAAGGACAAGTTTTACGAGTGAAAAGGGAATGGATCAAGATGACGATGAAGATAAGGAAACTAAATATCGTTTAGATCCAAAGTAAATATAATGATAGCTTTTTTTTTTTTTGTGTGGAAGGACATATATTCATTATCTTTATACAAAGTTAAGATGACCACGATGTTCTTATTTAATTTTGACTGAGCAAAAAGAAGATATCACAATAAATGTAGAAAATTAAGATGTGTTCCTTCTCACTTAATGTTTTACTACTTTCTGTCAGATACGCAAATGTAAAAACCCCAGAACGTCATGTCCGGACACGCCTATACTTTACGTCGGTGAGTACATTTCGGTCTCTACTTCACCATGTTTTCTTTTCCTGGTTCCACTCTGGACCTTAAACATTAAGAGAGATTAGAAATTGCTGACAATTTGGAGTTCATCTTTGTTTAAGCTCTCCTTTAAACCCTACAAAAAGTATACCAGGTTCAGTTTTCCCCCTGTTGAGAGTTGCCTTTTGTGTTTGTCATTCTGGTATACTATGAAACTTCACATTTATAATAGATTATTTAAGTTCTTTATCTCAGATTGATATTTGTGATTTTTATTATTTGCATGTTCTTCAGATTAAGTGAGCTCTATAAATTTCAAATGACAGGAATCTCATATCCATTCCTTGATGAATGTTCTTCGATATTGCAACCTGGATGAATCTCTTCAAGGAGAAGATAGCCTTGTTTGTGATAATGCTTTGGAGCGTCTGTGTAAAACAAAGGAGCTTGATTACATGAGTTACATCGTGTTTAGGATGTTTGAGAACACAGAGGTTGGTACTTGTGTTCAAATGTTTTTCCATCGCTCTTTGGGCTAAACAAATAAGATTGAATGGGATCTTTTTGCATCTTCTCTAAAGTTTGTTCATCATTTTCTCATATATGCTAATTCTACAGGAATTCAACTCTATACGGCATTTCATGCCATGACCAAATTTTAACTTGCAACATAAAATATGCCCTGTTAGTTGCGCTAACTTGGACGGCTTTCATGATTCTAACTTCCAGGATTCCTCTATGAAGCATCACTTGATTTTCTATTAATTTGAAATGTCGTGCGCAATATTCAAATATAATTTTCAATGTTCACTTATCAAATAACATTATGATACTGTCTCACTCAACTTAATGGCGCTGATTCAAATGTCCTCTAATAAGTTGTGCTTCCAGAACTGATGAAAGGTTTTCATTATGCAACACAATACAGTACTAAAAGGAGAAATATATTAAGAGCACAAAATATACACAAGAGTTTGATTGTAAATTATTTAAAGCTAGGTTATTTTCTTCAGACTTGTTATATTTTTCATTTTTCCATGCTTTTTATCCAGTAAATTTCCACAAACTAAAAGCATTGTCAGTAAATGTGTTCTATATGTGTTCATCGTCTAATACCTGACATTCACCTTTCTTGGCTAAATATCTAAAACTTTGACTGCAGGTGGCTTTAGAAGATCCGAAGAGGTTTCGCATAGAAATGACTTTTAGCCGTGGTGCAGATTTATCGCCTTTGGAGGTAACCTTGAATTAAGATGTGATTTGAAATATCTTTTTGGCCTGCAATTGTGTCCAGCAGCACAAGGTTATATTGTTAAACTTTTTTACTGTTAGTTGCTTGACCAAGTGCCCAAATGCATACAATTGTCCAGTTTCAAGCTACTACTATTGTAACACGCATTAATTTATTTAAATTATTTAGAGCATGTTTGAGAAGTGATTATAATTTAATAGACCCAGACTTCATAGACCCACAACTATTACTCAATTGTTAACCACGCATTCTGTATGATACACAACTTATAATTACCTCAATTTTAATTTAATCACTATATAAACATGCACTTAATCTTAAATAATTAAATTGAAATATTTATGTTCTCTTGTGAGACTGCATGTTTATATAGTGAAGTCCAAATTTTTTGGCTCACTTGGCAGAGAGATGATAGTGAAGCTGCTTCATTGCATCAAGAGCATACACTGCCAATAATGGGTCCTGAGAGGCTGCAAGAAGTAGGATCATATTTAACTTTAGAGATGATGGAGAAGATGATCCGTCCATTTGCTATGCCAGCTGAAGATTTTCCACCTCCGTCAATTCCTCAGGGATTCACTGGCTACTTCACCAAAAGTGCAGTCTTAGAACGCCTGGTCAATCTTTGGCCCTTCCATAAGCATGGACACACTAACGGGAAGTAGTAAGTTAACGCTGTTTTTCTCTTCCCTTTGTATTGGCAGTTTGACCTTTGAGTGGTATGAGCTTCTGTCCTTCCCGGGAAGAAGTGTTGAGACATTGTAGGAGAATCGAGTTGATGGGATCATGGGAAAGAGCCATGTTGATCAAAGCTGACACTGGTGCTTCAAAAATGCCTTTTTCTCCCTTTTTGTGGCAATAGTTCGTTTTTCATTCCTGTAAATTTCAAGTAGTTAGGAACTAATTAGTAAGGTTATTTCTCCTCGCCTCAGATTATTCTACATCTAATATAAGCTGATAAAGATTTTGCTTTCTTCAAGGAAAGATCACACGACTTTTAGTCCTGTATTAGGTGGTTCTTTGGCTCAGATTTTATGATGCTGACTGCATATTCCAGAAGAATGACCAGTTCTTTTTTGAGCAAGAATGATCAGTTTAGCAATTCCGTCTGGCATCAATTGATCAAATAATTTAGTCAGGTTCTTGGTTTTCTGGGGCATCATCACTACGTTTAGGTGTGTTCTCATAAATTTATGATATTAATTCTTTGAGCACTAATTGGAGCAAAGCTACAGGGGGAGGGTTGCTGTCTCGGCTGCTGGGATGAGGTGGCTGAGGGGGTGTGCTGGTGCAGTGGCTGGGGAGGTTTTTTTCTGTTTTTTTTTTTTTTTTTTAGAGGCTAATTTAAGCACTGCCTATTTTCTTGGGAAAAAATCCAAGATAGCTAGGAATATATTGCAAATAAATCTATTTTTAATATACCTAAATTTCATCTCTGTGAATTTTTTTCTACAGCCTGATTGAATGCTCTTGATCAAATCCCAGAGCCATCAAGGATGATGAAAATCCCTAGATTTTACTCTCTTGTAGTGGATTGAAAAAAAAAATGAGAGGAAATTTGATAAAAATGTCATTTTTCACATGTACATTTTGGAAAGAAAAATGTTATGTGAGGTGTACACACAGCTTTACACCCCTCTCATATGGAGAGGGGTTCACAAATATTTTATTGTGCGTGGGCCGTGTGTACACCATTGTGTACATATAGCATAATCCTTTTGGAAAATGGCCATTTTTTGGAAGGGTAACCATATTGAAACCAGATATTTTGCACAACATTCTAGCACACAAGGTTCTCAATCTTTTGTTAGAATTTTTAACAATTATGTTTCCAACATTTTTTTTTGTCGCATTTTTATATCAACCTTTAATTAATAAGAATACGTCGCCGTAAACAGGTGAAAACCCACTGCATATAATGAGAGCATTAATTGCACTCCATTTCAAAACACCTTCGATATTTGTCATTTGAAAAAGTACCATCATTCAATCCGTCACACCCAATAAAAATCTTCAGGATTACAAATTATAAGATACTAAAAAAATTTCTTAAGTAATATAATAATCTTGTCTTAAACATTTTTAACTAGTTATTAACTAACTAAATTTAATACTCATCTGTCACATAATAGCTTTTGTTAGGAATTTACAGAATTCAGTAGCTCAAAACAACATACAATAATCATTTACATGACATATAGAAATCATAGAAATTGAAATTATAGAAATCGAAAAGCAACAGAGTTCTTCCTTGTTTTGGTCGAATCAGTTAGGTTCAGGAACATCCTCCATGCCTTGCAAATTCTCCTTCCAGAGAGAGCTAGAGGGTTCCAGCCAGAACCTATCCTCACTTAGCTTGGATCATCGATTCAAGGATCTACCAAAAACAGCTAAGAATCACCCCTAAATCAGACCTAAACTCTCAAATAACACAACAGCACTTAGCCACTATTTCAGGCCTAAGAATACACAAGAGTTTCTTCAATCAATAGGCTAAAGATCGATTCCATAGGCCACAAGAAGGAGAAGAAAGCAGTCCCAACAAAGAGACGAGAGAAGATCGAATGCGAGAGAAAAAGGAGAAGTGTCTCAAGGAAGGAAACCCACGTGAATATAACGACCAATAGTCAAGTCAACAAAATATCTCAACCAAGGAATAAATCCCAGCCCTTGATCTCAATCTAATGGTCACAATAAAACCAAACTAGCACAATTCGGGTCAAGCCAAAGCTACCAATAGATGAAGGACACCTAAGCAGCTAAGTCAAATAATAAGTAACAATATAAATTGTCACAAATAGCACTAGCCCATAAGTGATAGAGGATCACAGTTCTCACAGCTTTGGACATCAAGATTTATAAAGTTCTTTGTTTAATTTTTCCATGGGATGTTGCCCATTTAGGTTGGACTGTCATATTTGTCGTGCATTAAGAGAATAAAGTGTGTCGTGATTTGTGTGCCAAGTTTTTCAGTCCTACATAATTTGAACCACGATATTTTTCAACCATATTTGCAAAAGGGTATAATGGGCATTCTCAATCCAAATTTGACCATTTTTACAAAACTTTTCAAAAATGCATCCATAACATTTGGCTACATTGGAACATTCCCCTAAAAACGTCATACATTGGATATCGAAGGGTCGTATTTACGCATTTGAAAGTTCAACGATTTATTGTAGGAAGGCCAATCAATTTTATTTATTATTATTTTTTTTTTACACATGACAATTTTTATTGAAAATTTGCAACAAATGGATCAAAACGTGTCCATAACAACATAGAATGAAAAGGTTTAACGAAGGAAAGACCGACATGAAATAAAATTTAACAGATGGTTACAATATCTTAGCAACTTAACTTGCCTTACTGAAATGGTACTGGAACGCCTTGTTTCTGGTTCACAATTGCCATAGCTAAATACCGAGTACCCATGCCTATAGGAGTTTGATTGTCAGGACCCTCCCAAAATGGTGCTTCACCTTCACCAACCAGACGCCAATATCCTGTCCTTAGAGATTCAGCCTGTTCTTCTGTGCAGTTTTCCAACAGTGCTTCAACCCGAAAATTAATTCCAAGAGAACCAAGAAACTGAGACTGGGTCATCGGGCCATGGACAGACACACCTGAAGCCAGAGAGTTTGATAAAAAGAACCCATCATTTCATATGTATATTTCTTATAGTAACTGCTCGTCTTTTGATCTTTTACTGGAAAAACACAAATAATATAAGCTCATAAAAATGAAGAGAAAAACCTGAAACTTCCTCAGCAGAGTGCTTAATTGCAGCAAAATCAACATACGCACTGAGATCGGCTGAGCCAGGATTATCCAGTATGTCAACAAACTTGTGCTTTCGAATTGCCTGCAACATTGAAACATGATGTGACCACTTCTGCTAAAGGAATGCTAATATAGATAATTAAAGAATATTGGATGCCAGCAGCAGTGCTGAATGAGTAACTAGCCAGTACTACTGACAAATGACAATTACAAGAAGCTAACTATGAGGCATAGTACTTTCATTTACCAATATCAGAGAAGTAATAATACCTTATAATTTGAGTCCAATAATCATATACATAAAACATTATTGACTAGGCAACTCAGATAATATACTTGAGCTTTTCTCATTTTTTGGGTAATTTGTACTCGACACTTCTTGTAAATAGGATCATTTTCAACATATCACTGTTATCGCAGTCCTCTACTTAAGTTCATTTCACCCTTTCATATGTGCATTTCAATGAGGATTACAGAGTAAAGAAAAGATCAGAGTAGTCTGAGAAAATTTTCAGAAATCTAATGAAGTGTTCAGGGTCACGATCCAGAAGCTAGGGACCTGAAGACTATTTGAGACTATTCCATTGAGGCCATAATCAATTATGAGAGCACCACCACCATCGATGCCTATTCTTTTGGAAATTTCTTGGGTCAAATCCATTGCCTTGGGGCAGACCTCGATATGATCAAGCTTGGCAATTTCTTCAGAGTCAGCCCATTTGCAGCGCTTCATGAGATAGAGAGTTGCAGGTGTGGGCTGTGGAGATAAAACAAAACGAAACCTAACCAATGAATTTGAAAAGAAACTATATTATTAACAGTGCAGGCAGTTAGAGGAGCAATGACAGAGAGGATTCAAAAGCTTACGACGAATTTTCAGTAACATCAACCATCTTCTCACACCAACCACGAGAAGCTTTCTGCAGGCAAATCGTAAATGAATCATATGCTTAGGCCACAGAGAATCCCTAAACCAAGATTTGCCACACAACTTGTCTATATTCAATCCTGGGGAAGATAATAAAAACTATTTGCTGCATCAAATAAGCTCCAACATATTCATATAATACAAGTGCTTGAGCACATTGGAACAATGTCAAATCTTATAAACACATAAAAGTTAAATGCTATTTTGAAGTTGAATCAGAGGGAAAATGGCATTCAGTTAAAAGCAAAAACCTCACAGTGATCGAAACTTGTAGCACTGGAAGAACCAACTATATACAGGGGTTTATACACATACCTGAAATTGGTGCAGGGGTAGAGCATCAAAGAATTCATGAGCAACGATGATTGTAGGCACTGAAAGAAAAAAGGAAAAAAAAAAAGGTATAAAACTCATGTCTCAGATGAGATGAAATAGCAATGAAAGATCTTCAAAAAGCCTTCGATGATACTGTAAAGTGATCATATCATAAATGTACTTCTCTGATTATATCCACTGACTCCTCTCCCAGTAATATGATGCAGCCATCACGAAGCAGTATATCTCAATGTTCTAGATGTTACATAAAAGAGCAGAGTACACTAGATAGCTTTAAAAGGAAATAAAATGTGTGCAAGTACACGCTTGGGTGTTTGTCTTAGACAAGGAGATGATAATTTCTTATAGATTTGTGTATGAGTCAATAGACCAGCTCGCATCGAGAAGCAGCTGAGCTTGCTTGAGGAAAACGTACTTCTAACATTTTCGACACAGAACGCATATTGAAGTTACGAAGCTTGATATACAAGTTCCTTACATCCTGTAGGAACCTGCTCGAGCGATGCATGCCAGGATACAGGGGCCCCAGCTATTGTGCTCTTAATCCTTTTTTCCTCATTCCCATCAGAACTATTCTCAGTCATACACTTCAAGTTCTGATACTGGAGTTTTTGTAATGTTGGGCTACATTCAACCATATGAATGTGCAGAGAATCCGTGAAATTCTTGAACTTTGTCGCACCCTAAAGATAAAATGGCACTTGAGATTAGTTGAAATTTGAACTCCAAAACTTACAAACAACAGCAAACGTCACAATAAGAATTACAGGGCCATTGCAACGTATTCTGAATAGATTAAACAAGTATAAACTGTGAACCCATACACGTAGAAGATCAGCCAAGAGAGTTCCTCTCCCTGGTCCAAGCTCAACTAAGTTTACTTTATTTGGCTTTCCCATTTGCTCCCAGAGGCACATTGCCCAAACACCAATCATCTAGAGTAAAAAGGATGAATTAATCAGCACGATATGTTCAAGTGATACTAATTCCACATTTGCCTTTTTGTGCCCTCCAAAAAAAGCCTACACTTGTACCAAACAATTTAAAGGGGGCAGTAGTTCAAATTTACCTCTCCAAACATTTGGCTCACTTCTGGGGAGGTAATGAAATCACCATCTGCTCCAAACACATCTCGATTAATATAATACCCCGCCTTTGGATTCGTCAAGACTTCCTCCATATACTCAGCCACAGTGATTGGCCCCCCTCTAAACTAATGGTATACAAAAGAACCAAAACACCCTCAAATTTCTCATTACACGAACGGAACCAATATAAAAGGTTAAAACAGTATAATAAACTGAATTGAATTCCCAAAAAAGAACAACTACCTTGATGATATTCTTGAGGTGCTTAACGAGCTCAGACTCAGCAGACTGTTCGTGTGAATGCTCTACATATAAACAAATCCAAACCCATCACACTAAACTTCAAACAAGAAAAAACAAAATCATATGTATATCTTTCTAATACCAGGAGGATTATACAAGGCTGTGCGGTCGATGGAAATTGTAGCAGAAGGTGGGGATTCTGCGGAGTCCTCCAAGTGTTCGACGAAATGACTGTTTGGAATTTGAGAGGATGAGGAACATTGTCGAAAGAATGCGAATGATGATGAAGAAGAAGCTGTAAAATTACGACGAGTGGAAGCTTGAAGCAGAAATTTTCTCAACATCTTTACACCACCTGATTGTCATGTAAAGATACCCTGCTGTTTATTCTATTTCTTATTAGCCGGAGCCATTCTCAAAAAGTATAAATTGGTGAAAATTCGAAGGAAAAATTGCAGCAAGGATCCCAAAGCTTTCAGTTTGATGCAGACTACACCCAAACTTTTTTATTTTTTTTTAATCCACAATCTCAAACCTTTCTATTCAAACCTTAAGTATCACTCATTTCAAAAATAAGATAAAATGTTTAAAATTTCAATAATCAGATATTTATTTTGATGTATATTATTATCCTATTAAAATAAAAAAATGACTGTTATCCATCAAATTAACATTTAAATTCAAAATTTCTATCTCTTGTGTGTGTCCCAATAACGACTATATTTTTCATTCTCATTCTATAATAATTTGGCTCAAACAAGGCCTTGAATTTTATTTCTGAAATAATTAATTAAAAATATATCTTATAAATTAAATGTAAGGTCACAATTCTATACAATTTGTTCACAAATTGTCGAATTAATTGATTACAAATAATTTTTCGATCACAATTAAAAATTTTATTTCAAATTATTTCACGATCACAAATTTATCAAATTAATAGGTCTCATTATTATTTTTTTGTTACAAATCACAAATTTTATAAGTAAACTTATTTTATTGTTACAAAATATCAAATTAATTGAGCACAAATTATCAAATTATCGGTCACAAATTAACAAATTTTTAGGTCACACATTATTTATTGGTCACAATTTATCTATTTCATTGGTCATACATTAACCAATTTATTGGTCACAAACAAACAGTCATTTGTGACTACCACCTCACCATTGCCACCAATTGCATCGCCACCGAAACTATCATCGTTAGAACACTACCACCATCTCTCGACAGTAAAACCATCATTTCAAACACTGCAATCAAAACCACTACCACCACCAACCTACCACTCCACAACCACAACCCCACCAAAAAAAAAAATCCACAAATAATCGCCAGCATCAATAATAACCACCATCGCTGCCGCCGCCGCCACATCAACCACAACACCACCCCCAAAAACTCCGCTCACACCACGCACCATATTGCATTTTTCCCCACATCTGACACCAGATCACTACCTAAAACTCCGCTCACGCCATGTTGCAGCAGCGAAATGAAAAAAAAATCGAAATCATTGTAAAATCATATTCATCGATTGCTATTGTGAAATTGACCTAAAACTCATTGTGAAATCGACTCAAAAATTTTTGAAGTATTCTGCAACGGTGACACGCTGGTGCTGCGCCGAAATGAGGGGAGAGAACTTGTGAACAGCCCGATAGAGAGATGATAGAGAAAGGCTAGGAAAGGGAGAAGAGTCGTAGGTAGAGAGAGAGAGAGTATGTGTGTGTGTGTGTGTGTGTAGCTATGTAGATTGATTAATTTTATAATATTTTATTAATATTAAAAATTTGAATTAATATCTGATTTTTGTATAAACAAATTTTAAATCTGATTTTTAGATTTTTTAAATTAAATTTTAAAAATGCTGGTTTTATATAATTTCCTCTAGCCATAATCCTTTCATTAATCGGCAACGCAATCCAAAAATTAGAAGTTTGATAGTGAAGGATGAAATGGAAAAAATAGATGAATTGTTCATATTCTGCAATTCCCTCATCCCCCCACCCCTCCCCAAAATCAGAAAACCCAGTCATTGCCGACCCCACCCCCCCCCCCCCCCACACACACACACACATAGCCTTTAAGTAAAATGACGCATTTGCTATTATCTTTAAATAAATAAACATAAAAGAAACTAGAAAAACAACAACAAAAAATAAAGAAAAAAATTACAAATAGAGTCTCGTAACTTTTTAAAAGTACAAGTAAATCACGCTTAAAACAATATAATACATATTAACATAGGGAAAAAAATTAGAAAATTTTCATCTTCTCCAACCAAACTCAGCCACCCCAACCCATCCATCCTAATTCACCCGTGATCAAACACTATCTCCACATGTGCAATCATCCACATAAAGCTTGAAATCACGGAGGGATGTTCAGTACCTATTCTTATATAACTGTTCGGAATTGATAAGCTAATTCTCGTGGATGTCTATTTGCCAAGTTGTCCACCTAAATATGAAAATAAAGGTTCAAATTACATGGAGCAAAAATGGCATGCTTTCTTCAAATATTTAACTATAGTGATTTATGTCTTGTGGAAGATCAATTTCAAACCAATCATTTATTCATGATGCTATATTAATTTATTGGAATTTACTCTAACGGACATTTGTTTAATATATTTGTTGACCACAATTTTTATACTTCCAACGTGACTAACAGATCTCAAGACCTCCCGCGTCCACTTAAGCCTAACTCTTATACGTTGGACAAACAATTAGCCACACGTGGCTTCCTCCAATGGTGGACTTTCAACTTGAAAGTCTGTGCATTATATGAATATCCATATTTGGATTTTCGGGATAGATGTGCTACACTATTTCTTTGCAAAACGCAACATGACCTAAAGGATAAAGACAAACTCAACAGCAACTACATCTCAACTTAAAAGTTCACGCATTACAAGAATAACTATACATGGACTTCGGGAACTATTGTTTCACCTCGTCTGACGAGGCTCCAGAAATCCTATGTGACGGCGAACCTGGGCCCCCACTCCACGTCACTCTGCCCAAGAGGCAGTTTTGTCGAACCCCGTGAAGAGGCCGAATCTATATCGAAAGCCGAATCTATTAGGCCACTCACTATATGCTGTCCAAAGGATCTGCAGGACTTTTGTATGAATGAAATTGGGTTCGAGTTGGATCCATCCACCAATTATTTCAAGGTGATATGCATTTACACATTTTGGGATGTAGAAACGGAAATCAACCTAATATTTCATCTATTTCCCTGTATAATTCTGGTACTGATTCTTGGACCCAAATTGAAGCTCCTAATACTGGTATAACTATCGAATCTAGATGCAATACGTGTTGGTGATTTGATATAAAGGATCTTGGCAATAAGGTATTTAGATTTTCAAGGTCTTGAAATTTAAAGCTTTAATAAAATCTAACAATACCTACTTGAACAGGTCTTACTATTTGCTCGTCCAAGACCACAATTTATTAATCTTCCTCTTCTTATTTATTGTTCCTACTGTATGAAAGAACAATAATAAATTTAGAGACACTGAGTTGGAAACAACAAGCATTATCACGAAAGTGAGATAATCAAATCAACCCACAAGTACTCATCGTTATATCTATAGAAGAGAAGTGTCATGGAGTGTGCAACTTTTTATTGATCATATTTCTACATGGGCATTTGTTAGCCCCTTATTTCTAGTGATGGCTACAGTGTATTGCCATATGTACAATGCCATGGCAGGAATTGTTCACATTTGGAAAGATAGAGGGTGATATATTTTACTGATACAAGTAATTGGTGCATTTGACCAAGTTGTATGTGGAGTTTGCACATATGTGCGAGGAATGCACGCATCCAACAAGGGTGGAAGCCACACAGTTCGGGATTTACTTGACAGAAGAACTGCACGTTATAATTTATGGACTGCATTTCATTTAGTCATTTTTAATCCCATAATGGGATGGGCCCTTTCATTCACACATGTGGAGCCCATACTCTCAACCCCACTTAAAATAGAAGTAGCTCATTGACTTCTATTGAGATATATCTTTGCCCTATCACTATCTCACAAGTTTTTACGGGCAGAAGAAAAAGAAAAGAGGTTTTGAGATTATTATCTCCACAAAAGGGTATGATTCTTTTCAATTGTTGAAGAAGAAAAAGAAAATCAATCTCAACCTATTGGAGGTATGCTTCTTTTCAATTGTTGATCACATGCTATGATTTATGAGAAGAACTTATTACATTTATTAATTTTTAACAATTGGTATCAGAGTCCCTTCTCATTTTCATGGTTGTGTCCTTCCATTTCTTCTTTGGGTTGGCTCTGTGACTTGCTGTTTTGGAGTGTATTGCGTTTTGGACAAATATTTTTTTTATTAGACTATATTTGTTTTCAAATGAAATGTTTCTCTCTCTCTCTCTCTCTCTTGTATGATATATGATTGCTAGTTGAAATTGCGAAGTTCCTACTGAACTACCAAAAGGACATACATCAAAGTCCAAATATAAGATTATCTGTATTCTATAATCAAATCATTATGTTCAAGATTCATGAAATAATCAGAAATTGAAACACTTGGAGCTTTAAGCATTGGTTGGGATTCATAATGTTGGTTAATGGTTGAATGATATTTTATATTGCAAAGTTGCTTTTCCTTTTGTGTTTATGAATTTTTTTATATCACTTTGTTGTAATATCGATGGTTTTGGAATGGCTATGTACTCACCTCTCGTGGGACAAGGCATGATAAATTATTGGGATTGTTATATTGTTCATGCTTCCACTTGATGACATTTACTAAGATCCATACGAATAGTGAATTTGCCTTGTCAGTAAATCGTTATTTGTTCGGATGCTTAGGACGACAAAAATAATAGTTAAGTGCTTGTCACTTTGTGGCCTAATTCTATCCTCTCAGTAGTGGGTCAATTTAAGTTCTTGTATTTAATTATTTTGTTTTGTCATACGTAAGAGCCTTTAGTGTGTCTTGGGCTCTAGCATAGTGCGTAAGAGTTTATTTTTAAATAAAACTCTAGCATGGACATAAAATTGCCTATTGTATACATTTATGTGAGTACATTTATCATTCTACATGTTTGATAAATTTTTATTGTATTTTCCTCAGCTTATGGCAATGCAGCTATGTCTCTTTCTTTGTCTGCCATCGAAAGTCTAATAGGAACCAATTATGTGGATTGGCGTGAGTCTCTCCGGATTGGCATGAGTCTCTCACTATTAATTTGGCTATAATGACTTTGGATTTGGCTTTGAGGGTTGATGCACCTGCCAAACCCACTAGTGAAAGTACTGCAGCTGAAAAGACTATTTATGAACAGTGGGTGCATTCTAATA